TGGCGCCAAGGTGGGAGACCAAACTGGGCAGGTAGACTGAGCTACAGTGAAAGATCTTGCAGTCTGGATTTTACTGTGTTGTTATGAGAAACCAAATAAGATTTCAAATAAGTGTGCCGTGACTGAGCCTGCATCAGTGAGGTAATTTTTTGCAGCTGTGTGAAGGGTGCTTTGGCATCTGGAAGCCCATATGGAGGCTATTAACAATTGCCCAGAAAGTGACAGAGTTCTTACACTTTCCCCTTGTTTTCAAAGTTATATAAGCTTATTGTAATAAATTTTAAAAAAGGTATATAGAAAAAATAAAAAGGGTATAATAAGCAAATGCCAGAAGTAACAACTATTAAACGTTTTGATGTATTTCATTTTAATTTTTTCTAATCTTTCTCACATTGTTGAGATTTTACTATAAAGTTCATTAACATTCTGGTTTTAACATGTGTTTTCCCATATCAATTTTTTAAAACCCATAATAAACATAATTTTGATGGCTGCATAAGCTTCCACTATATAGATTTTTAGTAATTTACTTATGCATTCTTCTAATATGAATGTTTCAGGTGGTTCAGAGTAAACACCTAACAGGAGTTAGACTAATCAGAGTCCGTCTCTGGAATTTTTCAAGCTAGAATTAGGAAAATGAAGTCTTTCCCTCTCTGGAGAAAACTGCCATATTTCCTGCTAAATACAGAAGCTATGTTGTGGTGAGGGAACAGGAAGCAGACGCAGAGCTATGTCAAGAGAAAGTACTGGCTCAAATCTCATGGTTCTGATTGTCCTTGAGGCTCGTGTCTTCCTCTTTCTTTGGATTTGGTTGCTTAGCTCTCTGATTGTGTGATACATACTAGTATCCTTGTAATAAGCTTTCTCCTTTTAGTCTAAGTTAGTTCAAGTTGAATTTTCGAATTTACAACAAAATCAGTGCTGGCTAATATAGTTACTAGAGAGCAGAAAGTGAAGGCTTGAGGAAGGGAAGAAAAGTCAGTATTTCCCTCTTGGGTGACTGATGAGTTGATGATACTGTTGACCAATTGTTGGGGGCACAGAGTCAAAGAACCAGGTTTTGAGGGCATGGTGAGTTTGAGATACCATCCAGTAGACAGCTGGATCATCTGGAGTCCACTGGATTTGGCAGTTAGTGGGTCACTGGTAATCTTACATTAAAAAGTTCCAGTAGAACAGTGGGGGTATGACATCAGTGTTAATGATACTCACTTTATCCCAGGGGGAAAAAATCTTATAATCTGTGCATAATCCCAAAGCTAATAACTCTCCTTAAGCTTTTCCAAGGTTACTCATTTTCTATACACTTTTCTTTCATAAAAGGCAACACTTACTGGAGTTTGATAAGCTCATAGTATTTTCTAGAAATTGAGGAAGTTAATCACTTCTCAGCCATCTCTGGAACTACCCAACATTCAGTTCTCAGGGACTCTGCTAGGGATTCCTTAGGTCCACATAGTGAGACAGGGAATTAGCCTTTTCCAGCCACTGCCACTGTTGAAGAGTCATCTGATTTCTTTATTATTATGGTAAAAAACTCGTAACATCTACCTTCTTAGCTATTTTAAGTGTACAGTTCAGTAATATTAACTGTTGTCACATTGTTATGCAAGAGATATCTGGAACTTTTTCATCTTGCAGCGTGGATACTGTATACCCATTAAACATTAATGCCCACTTCCCCCTCCTGCAATCCTTGATAACTACTTCCCTAGTTTTTGCTTCTATGATTTTGGCTACTGTAGATATTTCATATGAGTGGAATCACACAATATTTGTCCTTTCTTGATTGACATTTTGCTTAGCATAAGGTCCTTGAGTTTCATCCAGGTTGTAGCATGTGATAGGATTTCCTTCTTCCCTTTTTTTTTTACATCTTTAAACAATTATAGATGAAATTCTCATTTTTAAAAATCATGCATTAATAGGATTTTTCTTTTTTAAGGCTGTGTAATACATCATTGTATGTATATTCCACATTTTCTTTATCCATTTATCTGTTGATGGACATTAGGTTGCTTCATGAATAAAACTGTGATGAACATGGGTGTGTAAATATCTCTGCAATCCTACTTTGAGTTCTTTTGGATATATACCTGGATGTGGAATTGCTGGATCATATGGTAATCCTATTTTTTATTTTCTGAGGAACCTCCATATCATTTCCCATAATGGTGGTACCATTTTGCATTTCCACTAACAGTGCCAAGAGTTCCAACTTCTCTGCATCCTCTCCAACACTTCTTGTTTTCTGTTCTTTTGATAGTGAGTGGCCTCTCTTGATGGGTATGAGGTGATATGTCATTGTAGTTTTGATTGCATTTCCTTTATGATTAGCGATGGCAAGCATCTTTTTCTGTGCTTATTGGCTATTTGTGTATCTTCTTTCTTCAAGTCCATTTCCTACTCAGGTTGCTTTTTGTTGTTAAACTATATATATGCTGATATATTCTGGACATTGACCCCTTATCAGATATATGCTTTGCAGTTATTTTCTCCCAGTCTGTTGGATGCCTTTTCACTCTGTTGATTGTTTCTTTTGACATGCAGAAGTTTTTAAGTTTGATGTAGTCCCATTTATCTATTTTTTATTTTGTTGCTTTTGAAGAATCCTCTGATTTTAATAAAGCCACCAATAGAACCCAGCAACACCTTCAGAAAAGGATGCCACTCCCCCCACAAACCCTGCGAATTAGAAAATTATGTTAGCGAAGTGTTGGAAGGAAGGGAACTGTATTTCCCATGCTGGGGTGAACATTTATGTCTTATTTTGGAGTTATTTGCTAATAGATGTTGCCCGTCTAAAAGTTTTTGTTTCCTGCCTATTATTGGACCCAGAAATACTTAAAAAGCATCCAATGAAGGTTTTTGGATTGATGTTGATTATAAATGTGCCTCCAGAATCACTGTGACTATGTTCAATTTAGGTAAAATTAAGCTCAATAGGGAAAATGATACTATAGAGCGAGTGTTTATCTCATCTCCTCACCTTAGCCTCTGCCCAGGCCCAACCAACTCTTCATTTAGAACTGACCTTCCCACTTAAATGCCCAAGAAGAGCTTGAGTCTTGGTCTCAGTGAAATATGGACAACTCTTATTTCACCCTAAATCTCTATGTACAGAGTTTACCTTAATTTGGAGTTTAAAATTGCTCTCGTAGGGAGAAAATAGAGGGAAGTTTGAGAGGAGAGGCAATACCTGCATGAACCCGTCAGCAGAAAAGCTTCTCCACGTTGTTACTCCTGCTCTTCACTTTCTCTTCCTTAGTCTCCTCATTTCTGGAGCCTTTGCTCCACAGGAATCAGCCCAGAGACTCTGCATTGAGGAAGTCCAAATTCCACGACAGCTGGGGATGGGTAGACAGGTGAAATGTGTTCTTGGCATCCCAGGAACACATAAAGCCTGTTTCTAGAGAAATATGGTTAATATGGTTAA